CTTTTGTTACTGGTTTCTGTGTGGTCAGAGAAAAAACTTTTTATGATTTCAATCATTTTAAATTTGTTGAGGTTTGTTTTATGGCCCAGTATACATTTTAATTTGTTGAATGTTTCAAATGCACTTAAAAAGAATATGTATTTTGCTACTGTTATTTGGACATTCTACAGATGTCAATTAGGCCAAACTGCTTGATACTGTTGTTTGGGTCTTCCATATCCTTGGTCTTTTCTTTTCTTTCTTCCTTCCTTCCTTCCTTTCCTTCTTTCCTTCCTTTTTTCTTTCTTCTTGTGGCTGACCAGTATGGGAATCTGAACCCTTGATCTTGGTCTTATCAACACTGCACTCTAACCAACTGAGCTAACTGGCTAGTTCTATCCTTGCTATTTTCTATTGATTACTGAGAGAGGATCACCGAAAACTCCAAGCATAGGTGCAGATTTGTCTAGTTTTCCTTTCTGTTCTATTTGCTTTTTCTTCGTGTATTTTGAAACGTGCTTTGAAACATTTAGAACATTTTGAGACATTTAGAATTTTTGTGTCTTTGGCGAATTGACCATTTAAACTACATAATTTCTCTCTTTATCACTGGCAATTCTCCTTGTTCCAAAGTCTACTTTTTCTAATATTAATTTAGTTGGGCCAGCTTTCTTTTAACTTATAAACATAAATCATGTTTACCTTGCCTGGTGTATCTTATCTTACTCTTTTACTTTTAGTCTGTCAATATAATTATATTTAATGTGGGCTTCTTGTAAACAGCATATAGGTGGATTTGTTTAAAAAAAATGAAATGGATTAACAGTTCTTTCAGTATTTAAAAAACACTGAAATATTGTTCCAGTCTCTTCTGGCCTACCTGACTTCTGATGAGAAATCTACAATCATACAAATAATTTTTTCAGTATATGTCATGTGTTGATTTCTTTCTGTCTCCTTTTAAGATTTTTTTCTTTATATTTGCTTTTCATCAGTTTGATTATGATGCATCTGGGAGGTTTTATTTTTTTTTAAATTTATCCTTTTTAGAGTTCACTGACCTTTGGAATCCGTAAATTTATCTCTTTCACCAAATTTAGAAAGTTCTCAATCATTATTTTTTAATTTTTTTTCTTCACCAATCTCTTTCTCCTCTCCTTCTGGGACTTCAATGACATAAATGTTAGACGTTTTGGTATTGCTCCACATGTCCCTAAAGCTCTGTTCATTCTTTCACTCTTCTTTTTTTCGTGTGTTGTTTGGATTGGGTAATTTATATTGATCTATCTATAAGTTCATTGATTCTTTCCTTTTTCATCTCCACTTTGCTATTGATGCTGTGAAGTTTATTTTAATTTGTCATTGCATTTTTTAGTTCTAAAGTTTTTGTTTTTAGAAATAGTTTTGATTGCTTTGCTGAAAACATATTTTTTCATAAATTTCAAGAGTGTTTTTTCTTACTTCATGGAGCATGGTTATAATAGTTATTTCAAGGTAACTATTATATCTGGGTTATCCTGGGGTTGGCATCTGTTGATTGTATTTCCCTTGACAGTTAGTGAGGTTTTATTAGCTCTTCGTATGTCAAATAACTTTGGATTGTATCTTGGACATTTAAATATTATACATGAGGCTCTGTGTCCTACTAAAACCTCCCGAAAAAATTTTTTAAAGCAGGCAATCAACCTGGTTATGTTTAGATTGAAAGTCATCACCCATATTCTATGGACTATGGTTCTAATTTCGGTTTAATTTTGAAAGTCTTTGCAGTGCTATTTGGGTTCACCTTGTACATACACTACCCAGGGGCCAATCTGGACCTGAGTGAGAGTCTACACCATATTTTAGTCCTCAAAGCTTTTGAAACACTGCTTCCAGCCATGTTTATGCATGTGGATTCTAGGGATGAGCCCAGAATTTCATACACATATTTAGGGTATCCCTTTCTTTGGCTTTCTCTTCACTGTGATTTCCCCTACACTCTCCAGTTTCTAGTTTTCACTTCTCCTGGTATTTTAGCTAAAAATCCAACATTTTAGCCTCCCCATTGTGTTACACATCTCACAAGTGGATTTTCATGTTGGGCAAAGCATCAATAGAACAAAGAGAAGAAAAAATAAAAGGCATTATTTTGCACTATTTGGACTACAGAGGTCCATATTACCAGTTCCTCTCATCAGAGAGAAGGATTTTTTTTAAAAAGATGACTTGGGCTTGCCTCAGGACAGGGCCAGAGGAGAAAAAATATAAATTAAGGGGATTCATCTTTCTCCCTCCACATTTTTTCCCACAAGGTCACCCCTTTCTGTTACTCTGGACAGAGACAGAGTGAAGATTTCTCTTGGAATGTTTTCTGTCCATACCCATTTTTCGGTTCTGGAAACTGGTCTGTCCTGGAGTATGAGTCAGGAGATGGGGGTGGGGGCAAATGCAGAAAACTCACTGCCATATTAGCAGTTCTTAGAGTTTTTATTTCCCTCTTCAATTTGTCTGCTATAATTTATTTTCCAGAGTCCTCATATATTTGCACTACAGTTATGTCCAGGCTTTTTAGTTATAATCAGTGAGAGAAATAAGGTGGAGTGTGCTTACTTCCTTAGTTAGAACCAGAAGCTGGAAGAGTTGCTTTTATTTTAGTGAACGTGAAAAGAGGAAATGTTAACCCTCATGGCTTGAAAATGAGGGAATAGGCACAATAGTAAGACAAGGACCTGATCCCTAACACCCGGGCAGGAGTTAGAAAAAAAGGACTATTAATTTGACTAGAGATTCTTTTAGGGTCCATGAGTAGATGCAGGGTGCTGTAAATGGTTAACACTGTTCAGCAAAGCATTAGAGCCTGTATAGCAAAGCTCATAGAAATATCTGTCTTTCTAACTCACCACTCCCCATTATCTTTCAGTATCTGAAAAATAACTTAATTTTTTAAAAATATTTTTATTTTGTCAATATACAATGTAGTTAGTTATTGTGTCCCATCACCAAAACCTCCCTCCCTCCTCCCTCTCCCCCCTCCCACCCAGATGTGTCCCCTCCATTTTCTTGTTGTAAGAGCTTCAAAAAAAAAAAAATAAGTTGAGGTTGTTAAATCTTCTTCTCCCCCCCTGTTTTTTTTTTTTTGTTGTTGTTGCTGTTTGTTTGTTTTTGTGTGAGTGTGTGTGAGAGTGTGTTGCCGGAGACCGACAAAGCCGGGCTGGAAGAGACCCCGGACCAGCCGGCGGTAACCTCTTGTGGGGCTGAGCGGGATCCAACAACCTCAGAATATTCATTCTTCTCATCAGCACGTGGATCATTCTCCAGGATAGATCACATATTAGGACACAAATCAAGTCTCACCAAATTCAAAAAAATTGGAATTATCCCGTGTATTTTCTCAGACCATAATGGATTAAAACTAGAAATCAATAATAAACAAAATTCTGGAAAGTATACAAACACATGGAAATTAAACAGCATTCTACTTAATGATACATGGGTCCAAGAAGAAATCAAGCAGGAAATAAAAAAATTTATTGAAACTAATGAAAATAATGATACATCATACCAAAACTTGTGGGATACAGCAAAGGCAGTACTTAGGGGGAAATTTATTGCATTAAATGCCTACCTCAGAAAAATGGAAAGTTGGCAAGTGAACAATCTAATAATGCGCCTTAAAGAACTAGAAAAACAAGAACAATCCAAACCTAACGTTAGCAGAAGGAAAGAAATCATCAAGATCAGAGCAGAACTTAATGAAATTGAAACCCAAAAAACAATACAAAAGATCAACGAATCAAAAAGTTGGTTTTTTGAAAAGATAAATAAAATCGACAAACCACTAGTATGGCTAACAAAAAAAAGAAGAGAGAAGATTCAAATAACAAAAATTAGAAATGAAAAGGGTGATATTACAACCGACCCAAATGAAATACAAGAAATCATCCGAGACTACTATAAACAGCTATATGCCAACAAGTTCGAAAATCTGGAGGAAATGGATAAATTTCTGGACTCACACAAGCTTCCAAAATTAAACCAAGAAGATATAGAAAACTTGAATAGGCCAATAACAGTAAAGGAGATTGAAGCTGTTATCAGAAAGCTCCCAACAAAGAAAAGCCCAGGACCAGATGGATTCACAGCAGAATTTTACCAAACATTCAAAGAGGAAATGACACCGATTCTTTACAAACTATTCCAAAAGATTGAAGCAGAAGCAAAGCTTCCAAACACATTCTACGAAGCAAACATCATCCTGATACCAAAACCAGGTAAAGATATAACCAAGAAAGAAAACTACAGGCCGATATCCTTGATGAATATAGACGCAAAAATCCTCAATAAAATACTAGCAAACAGAATACAACAACACATATGAAAAATAACTTAATACATTAAGAATTCACTGCAGTGGATATTAGAGTATGAACAAAATGTTTTGGAATTGAGATGATGCATTTGATTTAATATAAAGTGGAAAAAATAGAATAGACAAGATGGTAGTAATTCTGTTTTATATATTCTGTGATTGCAACTGGATAAATAATAGGCAAGAAATGAACAGAGTTGTATAAAAACTAAAATGATAGTGTTAGGGAGAAGGAAGCATGTAAGATTATGGGTGTCTTACTGATTTATTTTTCGAAAATTCCTTTAATGTGGCCTTACTAGCTTTTCAAATGTAATAACATGTAAGTAATTCCTGGCCTATTGCCTGATAATAATATTGTTCCCCATTCTATTTTTGTCACTTATTTGGAAGGCTTTCCTGATTCTCGCCTTTCACTCCAACTCTTCCTGCTGCGTGTTTCTATATCACTGTGTTCCACTCAACCCCCAGTACTGATCAAAGTTTACTGTCAATGCTTTGATTTTCCATCTTCTCTGGTCGACATGAGCTGTGCAGGCATGGGAAGTGTATGTTCTTGCTTACTGATACGTCTTTAGTACCTAGCTAGTGCTTGATCCATGGTAGGTACCTAATAAACATTTATTCACTAAATACTCAAATCTCCAAATGAAAGAGAACACTCAAAAGCTAAGATTTTTATTTTATACTTTATTTGGCTCTTTTGGTCTCAGGCACTTTTGATATTCACATATTACTTTCTCTCTATATTGACAAACACTGAATAAATTGCCGAGCCAAACCAAAGCTGGAGGACAGTGCAATGAGTTAGCAGTCAGCCAAAGGAGAGGCCCGGTTATAAAAGAAAATTCAGCAAGAAAGGAAAATCAGAACTCACGTTTTGGCTAAAGCTGCCTTTGCTTGACAATGATTAGAGAAGTCTTAAGGGATTGTGGCTGAAAAGGTTCCAGTGGCATTGCTAGGACCAGAGCCTTTCCTCTCTGGCCCTACTCCTTATTCTATGACATACTAAATTCAAACACACTGGTGCTAATTTAAGTGCACTTTATTAACTTATGGGCACTTTGAGTTTGTTTCATTCTCGAAGCAATATAGGGAATCGCCCAAACCACAAGCCATGCATTACAATGGAAGGCTGCAAATTGCTCCAACCAAAAACAGCCTTAGCATGTAAGGATTGGAAGAGCCCTTAAACATATCTACCCCAAATGTCTTCCTTCAAAATTGACACTTAGATTTCCTTAACAACAGTCAAGATGAGTAATCACCCAGCCTTTGCTTGAGCACTTTGAGTGATGGTGAACTCACCGTCATTCAAGGCAGCTCAGTATATTTTCAGATAAATCCCTTCTAGACTTGGGAAGCATGAGGTACATGTGCCAACATGCTCACTCCTGCATCTGGGGCAGACATTACCAATCAGTCATGAAGTTCTTTCCCACCAAGCCTAGGTTAGCCTCAGGATTATTCTCAACATTGTTTTGCAATTTAACAGAGTTCATTTTGCAGTCCCTGCCCCAATTATGGGAAAGTTATTTCTTGTATCTGCCTCTCAAAGTCTTCCACACACTGATATTCTTTATGTTTTCTGGGAGCACACAGGAGTCTAATAGTCCAAGGCAAAGATAGCTTCAGATCTGGAAATCTTGAGCCCCATGGGACATGCCTGGGAAAGGCAGAATCTGCAAGATGGAGGGATGGTATTAGGCTCTCCTAAGCCCGTGGTCCACAAGGCAGAGACAAAGTTTGGTAACAGCATTTATTAGGAGGTATGAAGAGTCTTTCTCATGTATTCTGAAAGTCTACATCCAGCTCCTACACTAACGGTTATTGCAGAATCCAGGATCCAGGCTGAGGGCAGGTCAGGGCTACTTATGGTCAAGCTTGGACTAGAACCTCAGTCTGTGATTTAAGTCCATTTGGTCTTCTGTGAGACCAAATTGTTTTTCTTTGAGAAATCATTCAAACACAATTTCCCCAATTTCATTTTGAAGTCATTGGTTAAGTCATGAAGAAGGCAGGCCATTGGTCTATATAGAAAAATGTTGGGTCTACTGAATCACAGCGTGATTTTTTTCCAGTTTCCAGTAGAGTCTGGGATATTCAGCTGTGAATAAAGTCAAAATGGTTGTGATATTAGGTAAGCACAGGTTTATTTTTAAACACCTAGTCATGTAAGATTTGCATGGCTTCAATCAGTTTAAGCCTTCCAAAAATGCGGAAGTCTTTGGTTTCCTGAAATGGAAGGTCATCCATCTAGACAATCCTGTTTTTGTCATAACCGTCCAATGTGGAGGAGGAATCTGGCTCAGGCTTTCCTTTAGTCTTGTCATCAGTCACAGCTGAGTCATTTTTCCCTTTCAGTGGGTATGCGTGGTCCCTTTTGGTAAATGCCTGGCTGATTTCTGCATAGGTTCTGTTTTTGGTCTCAGGCAGGATAAAATAGAAGTACATAGCACCTGTGATACAGATTGCGGCAAAGACCAGGAAACAGTAGGTGTCCAGACTTTTCTGTGGAAAGGCAGAGACAGAAAAAAAAAAAAAAATCAAATAGGCAGTCAGTTAACTAGCTGTAAGACCATTCTGAACAGATTTTTTTTTTATATAGCTCCTCATTCATGTATAAATTTTCCCGTGTGTGATGCTGGCTTTATGTGAGGCATTTTCACATGAAGCATGAATAAATCAGCTTCAAACCCTGTTAAAGATGAGGAAATGGCAGTCATTGTTTTTTGTGCACTAGGCATTTAAAAATTAATCATTATGAAAGCAAAATGTAATACTTGCTGAATATTATCTTGTGTATATTTACCATTAACCACATTCTCTCCCACCATTCACTACTCACGTGACACCAATGTGAAGTTGTAAGGAAAGAGAAATTCCCCAGTTCAAAAGAGAAATATGGAGCACAGACTAGGCCAAGATAGCAACATGTTTTTCTAATATGCAAAAGACCTAACTCACTAATAAATACTGTGATACAGCCTTGTACAAATAAGAGAGATTAGATGAAAGAGAAATGTTGAATGCAATCACTTGGTTTTATGTATTCTGATTCATAACATCTAATGCCTGGACTAGAATATCTCTGCCAACTGCACTAGACCTTGTGATATTAGCTTCTCAGTGACTCAGTCGTCTCTGTAGCTCCAGTGCCTTGCACAGTGCCCGACTTGTAGGAGGTACTCAATACATTCTTGCTGAACTAAAGACGTTCTGAGTTCCACCTGTCACAGCTGTGACTCTTTCATGCAACAAACAACTATTCATAGAAAGATAAGGTGACGCTGTCTTTGAATGATACTTCACAAGAAGCAATATCTGGGTTTTAGTCAATTCTATTCTATTTTTTGATTTGATACACATTTATTTTTGGAGTATAGCGGGGTGCTTAAGAGCTTGATCACTGGACCACACCCCAGATCCACCATTTACTAAATCTGAGACTCTTTGTACCTCAGTTTACATAGTTGTAAAGTGAGGATGGTAATGGTACTTATAGGGTGAGATAGTCCCTTTAAAGTATGTAGAGCAGTGTCTGCATGCAGGGATGATCCATACCTGGGGTGCTTCATCTGGGGGTGTGTGCCCTCTACTCATCCACAAAGATCCCATGAGCAGTGTGGAGGATGATAGGGGCTCTGCAGATAATGAAGTGGGATTCAAATCTGACTCCATTACTTGCTTGTTGTTCCATTACTTAAGATGCGCCATTTAAGACAGAACTTCAGTCCACTGAGGGTCAGTGTCCTCCCTTGCACCATGGTGATATCTGCCCACATACTGTTTTGAAGATGAGATGAGATATGTCCGACTTTTCATTCAACATCCCCACTTGCATGCTGAATGGGCGTCTGACTTACCGAGTCCAAAGTGGAGCCTCTAAACCTGCTCCTGTGCCAGTCTTCCCCATCTCGGTTGACATCACCTCCATCCTTCTGGTTGCTTAGGCCAACCAGAGCACTTAGACGCAGGCTGGGCTCCTCCTCCTCTCTCCCACCCATATGTGGTCAATCAGGAAGTCATACTAGCTCCACACTGGAATCTGTTCTGAATCTGAGCACTTGTCACCTCTTCTGCTACTACCATTTTGGTGCAAGCCACCATCAAGTCTTGCTTGGATTGTTGCAGTAGCTTCTCAACTGATTTCCCTGCTTCATACCTGGGCCCCTTAAGACGATGCTCAAGAGAGAAGCCAGAGTGATCTGTTATGCAAAGGACAGAACTTGTCTCTGCTTTGCTCAAAGCCCATAGGACTTTCTAGGTCACTCTGAATAAAGCCAAAGTCCTTGCCACGGCCTCTGGGGCTGCCCTTACTTCTCTGACCTCACTCCCCTTCTCACTTTCTCTTCTCCAGCCACACTGCCGTCGTCATTTTCCTCCAATTTCATGTCTCGGGATCTTTGCACCTGCTGTTCCCTCTTCCTGGAATGACTTCTTTTAGACACCTGCACATCCTGCTTTCTCACTCCCCTTCATTTTGGCTTAAGGGTCCTTTTCTCAGAGAGGTCTTTCTGACCCCCATTTCTAAAGGGCTCCTCCCAGCTCTCTCCATTGCTCTTCAAAGCACTCACCACTGCTCAGTAAATAGTGTATAACTACCTGCTGATTAACTCTGTCCCCCACCAGGAGGTAAGCTACCTGAGGGCAGGACTTGTCAAGCTTCTTGTATCTCCAGAATCTGGAGAGAATCTGATACATAGTAGATGCTCAATAAATGTTTACTGTATGTGTGAGTAGTCTGAGGCTCAGAGACCCCCTGCCCTACCCCAGGCCACACACAGAACCATGTGAACCTCTCTGCCACCTACAGAGCTGCCATCGGTTTGGCTTCCCTCCCCGAAAGACCTGATGGGTGTCACTAGGATTATTCTCACAGTTTCACAGAATTCAGTCCAGAACCCAGGGCTGTTGCAGACATTCTGGGAAAGGACATTTGCCCCGCTCCCTCAGGAGTCTGGGGGGTGAAGTTATGCTAGGGTGAGAGGCTGCACCTCCTGGACTCAAGCTCTGCCTCTAGATAAAAAGTCCTTCTGGGTTTCTGCTATGGCTTGATTATAATCCCTCAAATAAAAGCATTCGAACTAATGTGACGGTATTAAGAGGTGGGGCCTTTAGCAGTCATGAGGGCAGAGTCCTCGTGAATGGGATTAGTGACTTTATGAAAGGTTATCTTCTGCCATGTGAGGACGCTGCAAGAGGCGCCCTCTTGGAAGCAGAGAACAGCTCTCGCCAGACACTGAATGTGCCGGCACCTTGATCTTCCACTTCCCAGCCTCCAGCACTGTGAGAAAGTACATTTCTGTTCCTTATAACTTATCCAGTCTATGGGATTTTGTTACAGCAGCATGAAAACACTGAGACAGTCCCTTCTCCCCACAATTATGGGGGCACGGAGCCTTCGACAGACGCATATTTGGCACCTCCCCTGCTTTGCACACAAAATGAGTAGCCACAGTTCTAACTCCTGGCTCTGCAAACACCTGCTCCTTAATAAGGGGTATTGGTAGGAGGGCGTTGTGGGCTTCAAGAGGGGGAAGAAGTAAGAAACAGCACAATGGGCACCTGCACTGCCCAGTTACGGGGCTGGATCTTTTGAGCCTGTGCCACCTGTGAGAAGCAGGTGGATTTGGTCCCTCCTTACAGAGCAGGAAATCAAGCTGAAGAGAGGTCCTTCTTGCCCTGGGTCACACCACTAGGAAGTGGCAGGACTGGGAGTGAAACTCAGACTCAGCTCTTCCCGTGAGCCGCAGCCTCCTCGGGCTGGGGTGAAGAGGGTCGAGGCTCGTGACGAGAGCCACAGCTGTTTGTCGACCACCTACAGTGCTGGGCACCACTGGCTGAGGAATGTCACAGCCACCCCATGGCGTTGTGCTCTTCTACAGGCGAGGAAACCGAGGGGTGAGGTCATCAGCCCAATTATTTTAGTCTGTGAGGCAAAGTTACGATTCGAATCTGGCAGTCTGACTCCAGAGTTTGTGTTTGTCACACAGTGCTCAATGCTTAGAAAATAAGGACACGTGAGAAGGGGAGACGCAGTCACAGGGTGAATGGGAAAAGAAGCCCTCAGGCTACTCTCAGCCCAGAGGTTCAAAGAGAGAAAAGTCAGGGCCACGGCTGGAGGGGTGCTGACGGGATAATATCGATGCAGGAGAAAAATGGGCTTTGGGGCTGTCCTCAAGCCCTCCTGGCCTGGAGCTGGAATTCACCCATTCCTGGAACTGAAGGACATTTACTGGTATTTGCTAGAAATAATTTCAAGCCAGAGATCATGCCACAACCTAGTGTCACTGCGAGTACGTGATCAAATTTAATCTTGAAAATGAAATGCACGTTTAAGCACCTCCTGTGTGCCAGCAGTGTCACAAGCATTGTGTCATTTGGTCCTCACTGCCCACACTGCAATACAGCTATTTTCATTTCCATTTTACAAAAGATGAAATTGAGGATGATAGAGACTCTGAAGCATGTCCAAAGCCACGGAGGATGCATGGGAGAGTCGGACTGACACGAAGCTGGCCTGACTGGCAGCCCTGCTCTGCCCGTTGTTGACCCTGACTCCCTCACTGGTGTGTGTGTGCTGGGGCAGGGGCCACGGCAGGTTCCTGGGTTCCTGCAGTGTCCCCCACCACACCTGTAAAGCAGGTCTCCATAACCTCCTCTTACGGGTGAGACACTGGAGGTGAGAAAGGTGTGGAACTTCCTGAGGTCACCAAATGGTTAAGGGCTGCACCTGGACTTGAACCCAGGTGGGCCTGATCTGGAGGCCACTGCCTGCTCTGTGCCTGCCTCCCTTGTGAAATTTCGTCAGTGAAGTAGGTGGCAGAAACCACCTGGGGCCGAGGATGTATGTGTCACACTTTTTCTGTCTTCTCTTTTACTTCAAAATGACTCAGCAACACACTTTGTGCCCAGCCTCAACCACACCTAAGTCATTGTTGGGGTAGGAGCGTCTGTCCAGAGCCCCCGGCAAAGTGATTTTAGACAGCACGTCTTTCATGGGAAGGACCTTGCCTAGGAATCAGCAGAGCTGGATTCTAGATCTGACTGCACCAAATGTTCGGCCAATCCCATGACCCTGAGAAGTGTCCACTCATGTCTGGGCCTTAATTTCACCATGAATTAAACAGGCATAATCATATTTAAGGTTTTCTGTTAAAAAACACTTTTACATTCATAATGCTTAGCTCCTAGATTGGCTTCTCAAAAATTGAGAATGTCTTTTCATCAAAGGCACCATACAGAGAGTACTAGAGCCACGAACGGGGAGCGGGTATTGCAATATATAGTTAACAAAGAATTAGCACCCAAAATTAAAAAAACACATACAGGGCCAGCCTGGTGGCACACTCGGGAGAGTGCAGCGCTTGGGAGCGCAGTGGCGCTCCCGCCGAAGGTTCGGATCCCATATAGAGACCGGTCCTCTCACTGGTTGAGCGCAGTGCGGGCGCGACACCGAGGGTTGCGATCCCATTGCTGGTCACAAAAAAAGACAAAAAGACAAAAAA